ATAACCCCAGGCACCGGGTTCCCTTTTCGTTACCTTCTACGACTCGCAGAGCTGTGATGGAGGTATTCTGACCTGCCTCCACACTGGAGTTCTTCATAGACACCGACGTGAGGTGGGAACCCTAAATCCAGTGATGAAAAATTCTATTTTATATAAAACTACGCTTCGGTGTGTGCTACGGTTTCTGGACTGTGAAACAAGCATCATTTGCTTCAGTTTAGCTTCAACATTAATTCTTAAGTGATCGTGAAAAACAATTTGAAGAGTGCAAATGAGATTTCTGCCTCTGAGCAGAGAGCTGAAAAATGATAAACATATTATCTTGCGTAATAGTGAAACTGTTCGTATAGGAAAACACAGAAGCTCTAATAGACGCTAGTAATGATGTTGATCTGTAGGTAAATACTGAGAAGACGAAACGTATGTTGACTTCTCGTCGCTTCTGTTACGCAGTTGTCAGACCAAGTTATTTTATGATGCAATTCTCAAGTTATAAATCCACGCCAAATAAGATATTATCCAGTCCACATTGCATTTCTGTGAGACTGTGCTTCCTGAGCTGGTCCCTAACTTCAATAGCAATGATTTTACTTGTTTTTGTCTATATTGAAATGAGGTTTCTCGCGGGAGGGGAACCGATATGCACGTTTTGACTAGTAGACCTAGAACTAGCAGTAAACATCGTGTAAGGACATTTGCACTCAACCAAGCAATCATAGTGAATCATTTTAAATCAGTTAAGAATTCTTTGGAAGATTTATAATTTCACTCGCACTTTCGAGTCTGTGACAGCCGAAGAATAAGAAACAAAATAACAAATACGTGTATTCCACAGCAATCCTTATTTATACAGTGGAGTGTTGCTAGCGCTGCTCAGACAGACAAGTTGGAAATTCCTTCCATCAATTCGATCCGGCTCATAATGTATAAGTTTCCTTTACGGCTGCACTACTTAAAGAAATCATTATATAAAGCGACTAATTCGTAGGCCGACTTGCATTAGGAAATATAAATTATCTTTAAGTTTAAATCTTTTATTCGAAGAGGTCTGAAAAATAAATGTTGAGGTAAAGTTGTCATTGCCGGTCACGGTAGCCGAGCGGTCTAAGGCATGTACTGTCTTCGCTCGCTTGGAAACCGGGATCGTGGGTTCGAATCCCACTCAGGGCATGGATGGTTAGTTTATGTGTGTGGGATTTTCTGTGTTTGTGTACAGGTAGAGGCCTTGCGACGAACTGATTACCCGCCCAAGGAGTCCTACCGGATGTGTAAGATCTAGAAAACCGAAGTGAACGGAGAAGTTCATGGAGGAAGGCCTAGACCCACTGGGGCTGTAGTGCCAAGGGGGAAAAAAAGTTGTCATTATGCTTAATTAAGCACTTCATCATAAAGGGCAATGGTGGTATATCTGTTCTCGGCTCCATTTGGTGGTAAGTGTTTAGATTTACGTTGTGACTGTTGTACCCCTGGGAAAGAGTCTTAGATGCCTCTTTTATACGGGGCTGGGTGAACCCCGAAACCGACCTAGACGCTGTGGTAAGGAAAAACATTTCTGTCCCTGCTGGGAATAGGACCCTGGTCGCGAATCACGTAACAAATCATTGGATAAAATATTTTGAAACAAGGGACAGATGAGAATGTTTACAAAGACCTGGAAGCATAAATCATAAAAGATGACACTTGAACGAGAAATTAATACAACTTTTATGTGATAAAACATATCAGATTGTTACGGTTTTGATCTGGAGTTGAGAAGTTCGTGGAAATAGCCTAAGGCTCGAAAGCAAATAACGTTCAGTTTTATTACGAGGTAAAGTGCTACAATCCTTTGTCTCCATTAATAAAATTATGGTCGAAAGGTCACAGCAAATGCCACTCTGTTTACCTACACACGGACTTCGAAGTCTTGATGCAAGGGGTAAGAAAACTGTATGATAAGTCATGCCTAAATATTTTTCGTTTCTTGCTTTAACAAGCTGAGTATGGGGTCGCGGTGGTGGTCTGCGCATGCGTGTAGTTAGAACTCTGCATTTAGTGACTGAAAGTCTAGGAATGGGCGTAGAAACTGGTAGACGCCTTCTACTCATTTTCATAGTGCCTTCTTCCTAACGAAGCTATTTCCAGTGCCTTGAGGCGTAGTAACTAGCGTGTTTAGAAATGATATATACAGAAACGAATTTATGATGTGATGAAAAGTTCTGTCTTCTGGGATATAACGCCGTGTAGTCCGGTGCAAGTGAACCGACGTTTCGGAGGAACGTACAGCATTTATCTTCATGGTCGAAGAGGAAGCAAAAATAAAACGGCATGAAGCATGTTATCATTCTACCCTGAAAATGGAGTTGACATTTTATTCCGAAACGTCTGATGACTTTCACCGTACTACACGGTGTTACATCCCAGAAGGTATAAATCTTCATCGTAGCCCCCACTGTGAAAGCCTCAGATCTAATATTGCGTTATAATAATTTTGCTTTACAGTATATGTTGGTATTTCAACGGGATTGTCTACTGATCAGGCGTAGTGGTGCCTGAAGTGTGGACCGCGGAACGCTGGCATGTCGCGAGAAGTGTAAAAGTCCAGTCCAGTAATTTGCTGCTAGTCCTCGCCAATAGTGTCGTTCTTGTTTTCGGGCCCTGTCGGAATCCATGACCATAATTTTATTCGTTCCAGGCTTTATATATTTCGAAATGAAGCCTCCTCTTCGACGAGAAGAGAGGTTTGACTATTGCTAGTCATTACCCATCCACTGGGGAGTGACGGCTGGCCCTCACTCATGCACTCACTCAATCTCTTCTGTCCCCCTCACTCTCCCTCCATTCACTGACCAATGACAATTTACTATTACTGACTGAATAACTGACTGTTAAATTGCTGTTGGCCCTCGCCAGCACAGTGATATTTTTTTCCGAGTCCCGCGGGACACATGACCATATTTTACTATCTCACGGGTCTGGGAGCCTTCAGAGCACTAGATCTTCAAATAGTAGAAGTTTGCTTCGCGATTCACACGATTTTCTTGCTCTCCGTGTTTTCCGCTCTATAAAACCGACATTAACAGCCTTGGGGACCCGTTGCGCTGACCACGTGACACCTTCTTAATCGTTATAGTTCGCTTGCGGACTACAGGCCACGGATTATCCATGTTTTCATTATCATAAAACATAAATTAAGTTTAAGTATTCTGCCTTAAATGTAGTTTTTATATGTTAAAATGGCTTAAAAAGCATATTCCGATTCCAAAAATTTCCCGGCGGAGAACCGCAGGATCCTCGCGTGCCCCTCATAATCCAGTGTGTGCTCCCAATTTAAAAATAACAACAGCGTGTGCCGTGTGTTAAGTGTCCTGAACTGGAGCGTTTATTTAGTTTTGAAAAACCACTTGCATTCCTGTGATTTTTTTCAGTTGCATTTGCGCTGGGGATAAGAGCCGGTTAGGTGGATTCCCTGAGTAACATTTATGAACTACTTGAACCGTGACTCAGTGATAAATTTCACACAGTTATTCAGCTGTTATGGAACTTGAAATGTCATCGTTGTAATTATACAAGCCTTTCATACGTCTTCGCACTCTACTTTCGCAGTTACAGCATTTGTATGTACCACTGTATGAAGATATGTGTGGGAGAAGGGGGAAAACTCCACCGATACAAGGTAATTCAACATTATTGTCGGAGTTTCTGTTGCCTATAAGTGGAAACCCCGACAATAATTTAGAATAACTACGTATTTATTCAAAGACTAAAATGTACAAAACCACAATTTTGCCTGTGGTTTGTATGGGTGTATAGCCTTCTCCCTGTTATTACGGGAAGAACATAGACTGAAGATGTTTGAGAACAGACACACACACATCCAACATTACAACACTCACAGATAAGAAGGAAACACACACCACAAGACACGGTTTACGCAGAATATAAGAAAAACGACCCCCATAGTGGAAGAACCACACGCAAGTTTTAATTATGACACATAAGATGAATAATCTTAACAAGTTTCAGTTTGTGTAAGTTTATTATAGTTGACAAATACGCACTTTTTAAATACTTTTTAAATAATTTTGTAAAGGCAAGCAATGAAATAGATTAGCGTAATTAGGGCACCTGATGATGGCACTATGTTGCCGAAACATGTCGTGAAGTAACAGGTGAAATTGAGTGCACTACAAGACGGCCACTGTATACATATCATGGAGGAAAATCAGTGCAACAGGACGCTAAAATACAACATTTTGAGAACAGGTTGCTGGGGTAAATACTGGGACCCACTATATGTGAAATAATATGAGACTGGAGAAAACTGCGTAATGAGGAGCTTCATAAGTTGTGCATTTCGCCAAATAACGTAGAATTAGAATTATCAGGTCAAGGAGGATGAGGTGAGTATGGCATGTAGCACGAATTGGAGAGAAGAGGAAAGAATACAGTGTTTCGGCGGGAAAGCCAGGAGGAGAGAGACCACCAGGGAGGCCTAGACATAAATTGGAAAATAATATTCAAAATAATCTCACCGAAATAGGTAATGATACGGACTGGATTGACCTGACTCAGGATAGAGACCAGTGGCGGGCTCTTGTGAACACGGTAATGGACCTTCGGGTTTCATAAGATGTTGGGAAATTCTTGAGTAACTGAGTGACTGGTGGGTTCTCAAGAAATAGTTGGTTGGTATGTATCTGAGTTATGTAACGACATTTAATGAAGGTGAGTCGTCAGTTACATGCTCAGACCGCTTTATCCCCAGGGTAAGACCCCCCAGTACTCTTTGGTAGGTATCTGTGAGGGCCTCAGAGCCGGTCTGGACGCAGCACTGAAGAGGAAAATATCCACCCGCCGTTTATAGAAAGTTTTTTTACCTACCTAAAATACGCGGAGTGGAATAAATTAAGCTTTGGGTTGATATCGATCCCTTGACCATCAGACTGACACACACCAGCTTAGAGTACATTTGTTTGCTTTTAGGTGCTTATGCGAGATTCCTTTTCCTGTGTTCACAGGGAACATCAGTGCAGTGTTGACGTTTAAGAAGAAAGGCGAAACTTTGGCGGATCTTGTGGATGGAGCGACCAGGGTGATGACATATATGACTGTCGGGAATCCTTGCCCCAAGGAGAGCAACAAAATGAATAGGTGAGTGCTGATGTCTGTTTCGAACGATTTTGGGTAGCAAAGCAAGATGCAGACAACAGCTAGAGCCGGTTTCCTGCTTGGTTTACTCTTCGATTCTGAAGATGAGGCGGTATGTTGAACCGAAACGTCGGCCTCTTCCGAACTACACGTCATTACAACCCAGAAGACCGTATTTCTTGGTTGTGAGTGTTTTGTTTGAGGTTTTTCTCACGACGATGACATATTGACGAGCAGAGTCATCTGGTGCTGGAGTTCCGAAGTGTAAAAGTTCAGAACCGAGTCTCAGTAACGTAAGCGTTGGCCGTACACTTCCCATCTGTCACATGATGAGAAACCCCTGCACTTAACGACATTTTATCTTAGAGAAAATGCACATTCAGATATTAGGAAGAGATAACCTCATAAAATAGTACTGTCTTATGGAATATGACGCCCTGTAATTTGGGAGAAGGTTACAAACTTTTCGGAGTAATTTACTGCTTCTATCTTCAATATTGAATCGTAAATCGAACAAGCAATCAGCAACTTGTATCTCCCTCCGAAATGGCGGTAAACTTCCACAAGATTATATAGCGTCACATCTTAATACTTTTACTGATTCTCGCTGCTTGTTTGCTTGGATTACTTCTCGACCTAGGAGGCTGTACTTTCCTCCGAAATGTCGGTGAACTTCTATAGGACTACACGGCTTCACATCCCGGAACATAGTATTATTCATAGTCTCAGGTTTACATCGGCGACGTGTTCCTTGAAGCGATGATGTCTATGCAGACGTAAATGGGAAATATCTTAATCCTTCGTGCAAGTTTGTGCCCAGAACGAAGTAACATCGGACAGGAACGTCGTTAAACGACATTTGTTTTCTTATTAGTTAAGCAGACCTGAAACAGCTCATGTATATATTCATTCTTTGCACAACCAATGGACAGTTGTTAGCCTTATCGTGTGTCTCCCAGCCAGTTCTTTCCCTCACATACAGACCTTACAAATTTATTTAGACGTGCTTTCAACTAGATATTATATTTACACTAAATTCGGTCGCTATTCTTAAACACGATTTTAACACCAAGGCCCCAGTACAGCCTATGGAAAGTACAGAGTAGACTAGTAATATTTCAGGAAAAAAAAAAACTCCCAACTACTGCTGAACTTGTCTTTGTTACCGTGGAAAAGAAATCCATTGTTGTTCGGTGTATCATTACTGGTTACAGTATCGAACAACAATGAAATCCCTACCAACAATAGATCTGATTTCGAGAACATTGACATTTCGCGTTTTGGCCGCTAGATTGTGTACTGTTAACTATTCTGAAGTTACAGCATCTACAGTTATATTTAGGGACATTGTCTCCAAAAATTGCCGAAATTTGGTCAGAGTCATAGTCGTCATCGAGAGAATTCTCTTGTTGTATTTTTAGGTCCATCCGAAGGCACATATTTTTGGAGCTGTAATATTCACTGGGAACCGAAGCATGATAAACAAGTTATTGAATACGGAATAAGAATAAAATCCGTCCAGCCGTTCAGGCGCTAGTTAGGGGCATATACATACATACATACACAGGAGGGAAGGTCAGTATTTTAGTAAGTCATAGTATCGCTCATTCTGAGCAAGAAAATGTATATGTACGTACGTGGTACATGTGTCCTGTTCCGAACGGTTTCCGAGATAGAGTCATTTCACCTTACAGTTCCAAAACTGTTGATAAGAAAGAGATATTACGTACTGTTTCTATCAACCCGTATTTATTGTTCAAGTGACAAAGTTTGTACAGTTTACCTAGTATAAAACATTTTCGAAAATTCCCCCGTCAACATCAACGCACTTTGCAACTCGTGTGAGGACATGGCGTGTTGCTCGCCTGTACAGTGAAATAGCTGTATCTCGGAAACCGCTGGGAATAGGACACATGTACATATAGCTCCAAGATTACTGGCCTTTCCTCCTGGGATACTCTGTACATACATACAGCGAGACAGACAGGCACACGGCGTTCTAAAAATCACTTTTTCGCAATCAGGATTCTGAAAGCTTGTAAATCTGTCAAAATGTCTGGAACGAACTGTTTTCATCATCCCATACTTTCTCCTATATATTACTCGTACGTATATGAGAAAAGGGGAAACAAAGACTTTCTGGAAATAAGCAGGTTATGTTTCACCAGCATCTACCATCATTTACAGCCCAATTTGTTATAATTATTATGTGCGTAGTTTTTGTAATCGACTTACAGGTCTGAGTAAAACCATTTTTTTTATTTCTTACGTAGTATCGAAAATATAACTTCGATCTTTGTTTTCTGTTATTTTTCGCCACACAATGCTCATAAAATTTTGGGGAATTTTGGAATGTAAGAAGAGCTGCCCATAATGAACGATTTGTGATATAGTGTGTAGTTCTTTCCAAATTCGATCTCGCGTTAAACATGCCTTAAATTCACAATGTTAGTTACCCGAACAGATTAGGTTTGAAACATTCAAAGGAAAGCCATGTAAGTATTTTAAAGCAATCGTTGAAGGTCTAACGTCCGTTCCAAATGTTCAAATGTAGGAAACTAAATTTTTTTATGAAGTAGAGATTATTTTATGCCATTACCATCTTACACGTGTTGTTAGTAATAAAATGACTGGCATATGATGAGTGGGACATACAGCATGCATGGGAGAGACGAGAAATGCATAGAATATTTTGGCCGGAAAACCTGGAAGGAAGCGATCACTTAGGGAATCTGCGCTTAGGCGGGGGGGGGGGATATTAAGATGAATATTAAAAACATAGGAACGAAGGATGTGGAGTGGATTCTTCTGGCCCAAGATAGAATCCGGTTTCAAGTTGTTTTAAACTTCATGATTAGTATCTTTACTAGCCTAACGACTACTAACTTTTCAAGGGGGACTCTACGTAGTGGAGTTGGTTGTAAGTTTTTTTTTTATAAATGATACAAACTCCGTCCTAAGTGCAAACAATATATATTTATATGTCTTTGATCTTGTTCTTTCTACACTACATGTTTCGGCCTCTATCGGCCATCATCAGGTGTATACTCTTAACGTTGCTGCCACACTGAACCCAGTCTAAAACTTAACATTTAAAAACACAATGTCACATTCTTCGTATTATCAACATCTACATCGTTGATATGTGTCTGGTATGTAGATTATGTTGCACACGTCAAACCCGATATTCTTGTAGTAGCACTCTAAAAATCTTTAGTTATGATGTTTTTTTTATTTTCACGGATACAGATTGCGGTCTTGTCGTGTGTGTGTGTGTCGTCTTTTCTCACAGTTATATTTCAGTCCTATTACAGAAATTCTTTGGCCCTGAATTGGGCCACTTTTCTATCCACCTTTCCTATTGGCCCACAGAGAGAGTTCTGGTTGATCACCTCCCGTGGATCTGAGTGACCACCATATTTGAAATCCGTCGGTACACTTCACGTGATTCCTCACCCTACATATTTCGATCCTGAAGATGGTGTCAGTATGTTCTTCCGAAATGTTGGTATCCACCTGCAGATTACACGATGTTAGTACACGTAAGATCATACTCAGAACGTAACGTGCAAGTGTGCTTGCACCGACTACGAATAAGTAAAACAGAATATAAACCATTTTGTTATTAATGAATATATAATTTATTGCTGGTTAATTGTTGACATTGATTCTGTTCTTGCGTCTTTGCACCATGGATGTGGGCATTGATGCCAGTGTTTCGGAGTTACATGCTGCCTCCATCTTCAGAGTGTAAGCGAAATATTTTCATGAATGCCTTTTTGACATTTTCCTGTACACTGTCTCTGTTTCTCCGGACCGACCACCAGCACCCACTTTTAACCCCATGGGGTCGGTTTCGGGTAAATTCTTGCTGGTCCTCACCAGCACAGTCATTCTTGGTTCGGGCCCTGCGGGACTCATTACGCCGTAGGTCTGTTAGACCAGCTTCTAGTATATACACATGAACACTCGCTCTATTAATTTTGAACCTAAAGATGCAAGCAGAATGCACTCCCGAAATGTCAGAAACACAGTCACGATCCACATGATACAAAAAGTTAAGAGCAGACTCAACACAGACTACTTCCAGTCTTATTTCTCATGGGTTTCTGCTTTCTTTGGCGGTTTATGTTGTCTCTCTCTCTCTCTCTTGTAATACTATATTCCATAGAAAGGAAAGGATACCAAATTTCATTCATTTCTATCAGGCTGCGTCCATTCGTCTCAGGGTCGCTGTGGTTTGTCTCACCTCCTGAAAATGTTTACAAAGAAAATAGAAGTTTGGAGGTGCCAGATGTCGATCTTGTTGGAAGGGGGTGAGTACAAATATAGTTTCAGGCTGTGTGTTTTTAGACTTGGCCTCTGGGTTGCGCGGAAGTAGCGGGACAGTGGTTGTATCTGCATTGCGGCAGGGAGGCTGACGCACTGTACGTAAGGCCATACACGACCTGGAATCGTTATCTTACCGTGCTCAAACCCAATTTACTGCTCATTATTGAGAATGGTCAGGTCTAAAAACACGGGAAGTATCTTTTGAGCTGTATTTTATATGTTGTAAGTATTCAGAACACAGTTTGAGCTTTGAATTTCTAGACAAGCTCTCTGATTTAGGATAGAAGTTTTAGTATACACTATGTCCGGGTTACAGACGTTTCGAACCGTTTCATCTATGTAGTTGTTCAGATATCGTAAACCCCCCCCCCACGACATACAGGCTTAATAATACGATAATATAGGATAAGCCTATGTCTTAGGAGAGCAATTGACATATCATTTCTTGCAGTGTTTCGTAGGTTACGCTGGATTTGAGGTTCTCACAGCAGTGACCACGAAGAGTAACATCTTCTGAAATGTGACGCCGTGTAGTCCGTATGATTTTCACTGACCCTTCGGAGGAACGTAATACCTCCATCTTCAGGATCGAAGATATGTTAAGAAAGAAATAAGCAAGAAGCGAACAACAAGCTGAATGAATATTTTCGAACTTGAAATTTTTTTTTATTGCTAGTGGGTGGGACTAAGTCCCTTGTACTGCGGCCACTTCTGGCCTATTGTGCCAGCCCCAGATGACAGGTGAGGGTGATTGTGGAGCAATTGGTGGAATGATGGTTGGCAGGGGAAACCGAAGTACTCGGAGGAAACCTGCCCCAGCGCCACTTTGTCTACCAGAAATCCCACTTGACCAGACCCCGGGATCGAACCCGGGCCGCCGAGGTGGAAAGCCAGCGGCTAACCGCTTGAGCTATGGCGCGGCCCTGAACTTGAAGATGGAGGCAGATATGTTCCCCTGAAACTTTGTTGAACTTCTACCAGCATACTCACCATCACAACCCGGAAGGTAGTCTTCCTTCTTTTATAGAATTCTGCTTCTCCAGCCATTGCTTACATGAACATTACCCACAAGAATACGGTTCTTATTTCCAGTGAATCTGCATATCTTAAATACGAGTCCAAAACCCTAACGTCTATTTATTGACCTTTCTGCTAGTGAGGTAAAATATTATCCAAAATGTTAGAAAGGCATATCCTATTGAATTATTTTGTCCTAAAATATTTATTAATTTATCAACCTGTAGTGTATTTTGGAACGAAAACCATGGGTTGAATTAAGACTGTTGTAATATATACATTGAGTTCTCATTTCTGTAAACGAGTATTCATGCAGACGAGTCGGACGCTCTTCCCATCAAAGTCGGGCCGACCCTTAATACATAAATTCACGTCAGAGTTGTGCGCTGTCTAGAAAACTCACCCTACTTACTTCCGTATGAAATTACAAGCAAATAATTAAATCCCTCTCGGTTTGTAAAAAAAAGTAGTGTAACGGTGAGATGAAAGCTCTGTGAATTTACGAAATTTCGGGCTACCATAGCAACGAACATTTCAAGCTTTAACACGTTTGAATAAACGCAATTTACGTAGTATAACACGAACGAAAAAGGAGTATTTTATTTATGCTTATGATGTCTATTCTGTGAGTATTGATAACTTTTTGACGTGGTACGTGAATTCTAGTATACTATGTAAAGAAAGCGGTTTACATTTGGCTATTTATAGTTCGATAATATGTAGGACTGGAAACGAATACTGGAGAAAGCAGGGGAAGTTAATGGTACGAAAGCTTATATAACGAATGATGAAACTACGGTTGAATTCTCAACGGACGTTTAAATAATATTAATATATGAAGCTTTATTTGTAGTTTCGCAATGGAATTCTGTACAAGTGGGAAATGTACAGGTAATTCTGTAACTTCAGTTTATGGCTCTTGATACGCGTAGAATTAACAGGTTTAAGCATTTTAGCGCCATCGGTTACAATAAGTGTTCAGAATTTTGCAACAGTTACTCCATTGGTACGTGTTACGAATCTTTTTTTTTGCGACCATTATCTAGCAACGGCCGTTATTTACAGTCATTGTTTAGCAACGGCTCAACATGCTACAGTGTGTTAGAAGCACTACAGATTCATCGGTTACAATAAGTGTTGAAAATTTTGCAACAGTTACTCCATTGGTACGTGTTACCAATCTTTTTGCGGCCATTACCTAGCAACGGCCGTTATTTAGTCATTGTTTAGCAACGGCTCAACATGCTACAGTGTGTTCGAAGCACTACAGATTCAGGCAACTTTCTGAGTAATCTTAATGTAAGGATCGAAAGAAGGATCATAGTTCTTTTATTCTTGGGAGTATCGTCCTTCTCAGATCTCGGTGCAGACAAGCTTCACTAGGCTGCAGACTGTCTCCCTAACTTTAGCGCAATAAACCCAACTGTAAACAAACACATTTATTTTCCGTCTCGTAGAATCCGAGACGTCGTTTGGCACGTGGAGAGTGTCAACCGGCACGCCTCCAGAATAAATATAACACGACTGTGTATTATTGCCGAAAGTAACCGACGGGCGGGTATAATTCCTACAGAGTAGCGAGTTTCCGAGTTTATTTTTCTTTCTCTACCCAAAGAGTTAACTGAAGTACAATTATCTTGAAAATTAATTATTAGCCTACTTTCCTTATTTTGAAAAAAAGATAAAAGTAGGTTTATGACATCACTTTGCTGTCTGTAAGTCTATGTGTATTCTCCCCTAACGACTTTTGAATGCTTCAATAAAACCTTTATGAAACTTAGCATGGCACCTGTACTTAACAAATCCCTCCCACTAGCAATACCAGCATTATAGTTTCCCAGATTGCTGAACAGCCTTAAGGAGGGAGCAATGCGCCATGATGTATGAAAGCCAGAATAGTGGAACTAGTAAAGACGGCAGCTGTTAGGCAACGTCTTGGTGAATATACCCCCTGGCCCCAAAAAGCTGCCTCAGGAATAGGTGGGGAAGGAGAAAGAGAACCATTATAAAATTCCGGCATACGTCCGAAATTTGGGTGAAAGGGTAAATTTGTCCCTGTGCTTAAGTAATTAAGCACTACACCATGAAGGCATATGGGGGAGTGGATATGTAGATCCTTGTTTTCTTGACCTCGGCACTAGTTGGAAGTGAGTGGTCAGTTTCACTCCCCGGCCGTTTTATCCCTGGGGAAGGAGCCCCATTGGATAGGAGGCTGGGTGGGCTCAAGAGCCGGTCTGGACGACATGGAGAAGAGAAAACTTTTGTCTCTACTGGGACTCGAAGTCCGACTCAGTCGTCCAGCCCGTAGCCAGTAGCTATACCGACTACGCTACTCCTGCTTCCCACAAATTTGGGTTACGTGTCTTAGGTACAACATTTTTTTCAGAAGTAAGTCTAATAAAAACTAGTGGTCCGAGGCACGACTGTACCTGGATAGGCAGCAGAATTTTGAAAAATTTCAGAGATTGATTGATTCAGATTGGATTACTGTTTCTTTAAGGAGATATATCGGCTTTCCATTCAGAAGTCTGTAGTTCGATTCGTCGTATTTAAGTGTTTTCATCACGCAAGTGTAAGCGAATTACTGGCAGTAGCTCACGAGGCGTTACAGTATTTTTCTGTATAATATCTGACCTGTTGAATTTGCATGGGTGAACGCTTCTTTAACCATTTGAAGCATGAACCTCATCCAAAAGACATGTAACATTTCAGTTCATGACTCACAGAATGGCACTGAATCTCCATAAAAATTATCTATGGGTTACTGCTGTTAGGCTTATAATCGTTGATTATTCCGAGAATTATATTAAACCTGTAAAATTTTACGGGTAAAATGGAGAGTTTTCCAACGTCGCAATAGTTACACTATACGAGCAGAGGGTAACCTTTGTAAAACGAACCCTCGTTAATGCGAACCCCCAGTAATCCGGAATTTTAATACCCCCAAAAAAAAAAAAAAGAAATAGACACCTCCATCGATTACAAATTTAATCTGTTTACTTTGCTCCCCTGCAGTCGAATTGAATTCTTGTGAAACATGATAAGTGTTAATTGTCCTATCTCTCTGGGCTCTGAGAAGATGTATTTTTTTATTGCTAGTGGGGTGGGACTAAGTCCCTTGTACTGCGGCCACTTCTGGCCTATTGTACCAGCCCCAGATGATAGGTGAGGGTGATTGTGGAGCAGTTGGTGGAATGAAGATTGGCAGGGGAAACCGAAGTACTAGGAGAGAACCTGCCCAGTGCCACTTTGTCCACCACAAATCCCACTTGACCAGACCCGGGATCGAACTCGGGCCGCGGCGGTGGGAAGCCAGCGACTAACCGCTTGAGCTATGGCGCGGCCCTAAGAATATGTAACCCTGTTACATAATTGCCGAGTACATTAAAATATTACATATTTTACAAATTTTAGTTTCTTTATGTAATATATGTACTTATAGATCTTCTGAGTAAATAATCTTCTAAAAGAATTAAATCTGTTAATCCAAACTACTATAGTTTGAAAACTCAATGCTTTAATTTGTTCGGATTATTGATGTTACGCTGTATATACAGAGTGTCACAGGAGGAAAGGTTAATACTCTGGGAGATCATAATATGTGAGTTTGTGTATGTCCTATTCCAAACGATTTCCGAGATAGAGCTATTTCACTCGACAGTTCTAAAATTGTTGATAGAGAGATGTTACCTACCGTTTCTAATACCGGTATTTATTGTTCAAGTGACACAGTTGGTACAGTTTATCTGGTACAGTGTAATACATTTTCGAAAATTCCACCGTCAACATCAATGCACTTTGCAGCTCGTGTGAGGACACGGCGTGTTGCTCATCTGTACAGTGAAATAGCTCTATTTCGGAAACCAGAATAGGACACATGTACATATACACTTCTTTGCTTAGAATGACCGATACTGAGACCTCCCAGAATATTGACCTTTCCTCCTGGGACACCCTGTATATTGCG